TATCAATGCACAACTAGCAGACCTACGATGCTTGGCACGGAACCTGTCTGAAATGATCCGTTTCCCGCTCGTCGTTAAAATGCAAATTCAAACTTTTGTGCCTAGTTCCCTCGGCAAAAGCTACACTCTCCCCAGCCCACCATGGCGGATGAAATTGATTTCACGACTGGAGACGCCGGGGCGTCCAGCACTTACCCTATGCAGTGCTCGGCCCTGCGCAAAAACGGCTTCGTGGTGCTCAAAGGACGACCATGCAAAATAGTGGAGATGTCAACTTCCAAAACTGGAAAGCATGGCCATGCCAAGGTAAGTGCCCATCCAGGTGTGGCGTTTGGGCTTCAGACTTGGGGGTTTTGATCATCCGTAGTCCATGACAAAGGATGAGTGTTCTGTGCTAATGATTTGGTAATAATACTCTTTTTTTCACCCACAGAAATACTGGATAATCAGTTCTGAAAGGTAGCATTTCCGTCTTGCACCGTTAGCGATGTTTTAGTGACTGGGAACTGAAACTGAGTCCTAGTGAGATAGAAGATCTATTCGGTATGGGCAAGGAGCAGAACGCTCGTGCATTGTGAAGAGCGGAACTAACCAATGTTACCGAACAGCTAGTGTAGAAATTGTTGAACGAGCGACCAAACTGTAACTCTTACTGAAAACAATAAAATGTCGTCTTAAAAAAGCTATTGCTCATAATAAGAAGGCCTCTCATAATAATTCTAAGGCTTCTATGGTTCTTTTTCTTACCTACTGTTTTGTTTGAATGACTGGACTTTTTTAAGGAAAGTAAAATTAGACGACCTTGAAAGGAAGAGAATCAGTCATAATCAGCGTGGGTATTGTGCTCTTGTGTAGTATGTATTGAGTGATATACTTGGCAGAGACTGAACGGGTTTCCTGTTCTCCTTCGCTGTTAGGTTCACCTTGTTGGAATTGATATTTTCACCGGCAAAAAGTATGAAGATATTTGCCCTTCTACTCACAACATGGACGTTCCAAATATTAAAAGAAACGATTATCAAGTAAGTGCTAATTTCTTTCAACATGATGCTTGTTTCTTCTGAAAGATCTCAGATACTTTGTGCTAGCAGTTATAATTTGACAAAGCCCAACATCACATTCTAGGCTTTTCTAACCAGACATCAGGCACCAGACATCGGAGACAGTTGTGATAGTTCACACTACTAGAGGATTACTGCTATTTTATGGACTTTTAATTCTTGCATTTCTAAAACGTTGAACCATTTAGTGTTCCTCAGAGCAAGTGACTGCATATTGTGGCCAACTAAATCCAGTGTTAAGTAAAATCACTACTATTGTACCTGGTGCTAAACAATTCAAATGTAGAGAAGACCCTCCTGGATGTTTTCTTCTCACTGTTCAGACTTTAGACTGTGAAGAAACAATTGGAATTGATATTCCCGCCAACAGAGTTTGTATGACAGGATAGGAGTCAGAATTTGGTATTCTTGAAGGAGAAAATGAGCTAAATGGCATAAATCCAAGGGGTAAAGGATATGGTCACTATGTGGTGAAAAAAATACAAAACTTTTTTCGATGTCTTTATTCGGTGACCATGCTGTGTGATCTTTATAATTACTGAGAGGTAGGAACTTCAGATTTTAGTTCCAGGCATACAGTTGGATAAAATTCAAAACTGTACTGCCATCTAGTCCATGCTGAGTCATTGCGACCACCGTGGGTTGCCAACACTGTGCACGTGAGTGGAAAGCTCAGCCTTTGTCCTGCAGAGCAGCTGGTGTGTTTCCAACTGCCGACCATGCGGCGCCCAGCCCACTACACCACCGGGGCTCCACGTACATTTGGATAGGCCATGTTTAATCCTAGCCTTCTGTTTGGAATATTGGCCTCTTGAGGTGTAAGAGGACTCTGGTGGCGCAGTGGGTTGTCAGTCTCAGAAACTCACAGGAGCAGTTCTCTGCTATGGAGGTTGACTGAGTTGCACTCCACTCAATGGTAGTGAGTTTGACTTTTTTTGGTTGTCTAAGAGCCAGATTAATCTTGTTAATGCTTTTCTTGAAAGTCTTCTCTGTAGCAGACATGCCATATATGTAGATGCTATTTTGTTCCTATTACCTAATGAAAATATGAATTGTATAGTTGGATTTGTTTAATTCAATTTGGATGGCTTTCTTTCTGTTCCCAATATATCATGCATGCTTTTTTCCTTTTTTAATTGTATATCCTTTTAAAGAATTGTATCCTTAACTGCAGCCCCCCCAGCTGCTTTCCATTTACTCTTTGTGAATGTGCAGGTGTATTTTTGTACTGTTTTAATCATAGTTAATGGTTTTGTATTTTCTCCTTCTCACAAATGTCTTTGTCTTAGTATAACAGCAGCAGGTGAGCTTTGCAGGTAAGCAGATCTGGGTGTAGATCTGATGCTGCCACTTACTTTATAACTAAATGGCCTAGGGCAAACTTCAAAACCTTTCCGAGGCTGTCTTTCCATCTACAAAAGAAGAGTCATGTAGGAGTAAATGACAAAAACGTACTACATAAGTACTTCATCAGTAGATAGGTACCAAGACACAAGTTCTCTTAGTAATGTGCTTGTGCTGGTCAAGTTACAGTGCCTTTTAAAAATAACAAGATACTTTTTGTGTGTGTGCTGGGGAAAATAAACAATTTGGAGGTCTGGGCTAATGACATTTTTGACAAAACCCAAGTGACACCTTTCTAAATCACGGAAACCTTGCAGCAAATTCATAAATATATTGCCCTACATAAAACAATAAGTCTTTAGATGGATTAAATGTGTTTTAAGGCAGGCTGCGTAGACTATCAACATGGATGAATAATAATAATATTAAATGTGTTGAATTCTAGAAACTGATGGAAAACACCGTAAAGTTACCGTTGATAACATAGCTGCCGAAGTTGAGGTCTCACATGTTTGACATTTTCGATTTTAAGCGGATATGTTGACCTCAGTGGGTGCGAAAAGTGCTGCTGAAAGATCAGGGGACTCCAAGAGCTGATCCTACTATGGCTCTTGCAAGCAAAGGAAAGCTAGTGAAAGTGACATTATGTAACAAATCACAACCTCAGACCAGCCTTGGATTTGCCAGTGGGATCCAAAGAGCAAGGTCCATTCAGAAAATGGTTTTCAAGGGTATTGCTGGGCCAGATGGCAGAGCGATCAACTTAAAAGGTTATGGCGACTGTTTTAGGATTCCAAAGGGAAAACCCTGAGAAATTTTTACAAAGGACACAGGAGGCTTATTAGGAAGTTGGGGTTTTTTTAATTAAAAACTGCATTGGTGAACAAAATACCAAGGAAGTTGTAAAGAATGAATTTTTTTTCATCAAGGTTTGCAAAGGCTATCCTATAAGAATTTCATTGGGAAATTTTTCATTTATCCACTGTGCACTGTACAGCCACTTTAGCCATTTCTATTATTCCCCAAACTCAAAGAACATTTAAAAGGAGCACAATTTTGAATCCTTTCAGGATGCCAAAACTATAGTTGTGCAAATCAAGACGAGAGGCATGTAAAGACGCACTGCCATAGAGCCCCTTCTGTTTGTAACTGCCCTATCTAGAGTTTCCAAGGATGAATCTTTACAGCAGTACTTCTCAACGTGTGGGTCATGACCCCTTTGGGGGTCGAACGACCCTTCCACAGGGGTCACCCGATATATAACAGCGCAAAATTGCAGTTATGAAGTAGCAGCGAAAATAACTTTATGGTTGAGGGGGATCACCACAACATGAGGAACTGCATTAAAGGGTGGTGGCATGAGGAAGGTTGAGACCCACTGCTTTACAGGAACAGACAGCCTCAACTTTCTCTCTAGGAACAAACCCCACCGTTAGCAGCCCAATACTCACCCAGCAGCGCCACCAGGGCTTCTTGAGAGGAGGTTGAGAGTTGTACACACTACCTTCAGCAGTGGGTATAACTTAAAATGGAGGGCCTGGTGAGAAACCATAGCTTCTTCGCATTTTGTCTTGGTAGCAGTGCTAACACAGTGGGTATTTCATAAACATTTGACATTATTCTTTGTGGCAAGTGTATCTATGTTGCAGCATACTGAGGCTGAACATAAAAAATTTTCTTTTACCAAAATTGAGTTTCTCTGTTTTTATCCCTAAAATGCGAGTGAGTGTGCATGCTTTGAATATTCAGTGTTAGAATGCTTTTGCCTACTGGATATTTCAGAAAGATGGCTAACAGCAGTTCACATAGTTAATCACTAGTTGGAGCTCAGAATTTAACATACAGACAGGAACAATTAGGTTTGGGGTTTGTTGTGGCATAGAATAGGGCTTGGGTTAGAGTAAGCCAGATGAGGTAAAAACTCCTCAGGCATAAAATTTTACATAAAGACATGACTTAATACCAAGCCATTTTGAAACTTAAGGAAAAAGGAAATAATAATTCTGATCACTGTCTTTATTAATTTTGCTCATCAAAGAGTTTTTCTGTTGATTTTTATTTAGTATGGCAGTAAAATATTCATCTTGATCACAGAGTTATCTTGTACCCACGATGAGCCCCACCTCCCTCCCCCTAGTCGTGGCATGTGGTGTGTGGTTCATACTGTACCGTGGCCCAGAGGAGGACAGGAGCCGTGAAGACGAGCTCTCAAGATTGCTACTCTGGCACTCACTAGCCCAGTGACCTCCGCAAGTCTCACCCTCTCTCCTGCCTCATTTCTTTACTTATAAACTGGCAGTGAAAATAATAAACTTCATAAGATGAGCCCCAGTGGCGTAGTGGTTATGTATTGGGCTGCTAACTACAAGGTCAGTTCGAAACACTGGCTATTCCATAGGAGAAAATGAAGCTGTCTGCTGCAGGAGGGATCGACATTTTGGAACCCCACAGGAGCAGTTCTACCCTGTCCCATAGAGCACGTCACTGTGCATCAGAATTGACCCGGTGGCAGGAGGGTTGGTTTTGGATTTCTAGAATCGTGCCATGCAGAGTAAGTTCTTGGCATCCCTTGGTATCAAGTCAGCATAGAGTGCTTATCCCTATTCCTTTGGGTTTTTTAATTCTCTGAGCTTTTCCAGCTATATCTAATGAGCAAGAGTGGCCTTTGCTTTTCTTCTTCATGGAGTCTTCTGTATCTGCTGAATTCCTTATTCTTAGTGCCGGTTTCACAGTTGCGTCAAGCGAAATGTTTATCTGTTCATTATATTTAAAACAAACTTTTTTAAGGAAAGAAAACCATTAAATATTTTCCGTTTCAATTTTTATGAGTCTTAAAATAAATTCTACATGGAAAAAACATTTCTTTCCTCTTTCCAGATGTAGCTGGGGGGGCAGGCTTGTTAGTTGCCATTACTGGTCCACACAATAGGGATGGGTGCCAGGGGCTCCGTGGTGTCACAGATGGCCACTCTGGCACTCACTTGCTCAGTGACCTCAGCAAGAGACCCCTTGCTGAGGATGGAAATGACATGCATGCATCCAGACCCCTTTGGGGGTCCTAGATTCTTAACTACAGAAGTGTTTGTTCATGCTGACAGTATTCTCTGGAATCGTGTGTCTTTAGAAGAAAAGATGGTGTGCCTGTGCTCCACACCGCACAGAAAGGCCTTTGTTGCATTCGCTCAAGTGATGTCTGCCAATCGAAGCCGTTTTCTAGAAAGAGCACTAATTACTGTGGGGGACACAGGGGTACTTATCATACATCTTAGTTATGGCTGAATTGTCACAATTATGAATATGAAATCTTAATATATGCTTTTGGATGTTAGGATACGTGTGTTGACTTTAACATAAGCCAAGAAAAAACATTAACAATGCTGTGAATTTCTTGAACTTAAATTCTTTTAGTAATTTGTATCTATTCTGGGAACCCTTATGTTCCAGATAGAAAGTTTGTCTTTGGAAATAGAAAACCTTTAAACCAGCAGGACCCCATCTTGCAGAAAAGAAGCAAACTGCTACAGGATCATTGGCAGTCATGGTGAGGGGGGAGCCCCTCCCCATGGTTCTCATACCTGTGTGTTCTATGTAGAGGAGGAACGTCGCCATATATTGGA